GGCACGTCTGACTCTTTCCGAGAGTCGACAGACCCATACGTACTCTACATTGATTCACATTTATCGTTCAAAACAATGACACTAAGGAATATCACCAAAGAGATCATCGCAGTGAAAGGCTTAGGGATTGTAGTGTTTTGGAACTTTGTCGTAATATTTGCATTTTACAACAGCTATTTCATTGTTGTGTTGGACTCAGCCATCCGGATGAGTGCGTGCTTTTGACTCTTTGGTATACAGTGATTGACGTGTGATTGTCTGTGATCACGTGATCCGACAGACGACTCCCTATTTCTCGAAGCCTTGCATCAATACAAACCAATACTGGATCGACGGAGGCGAACTAAATGCAGTGCCTTTAAAATTCGTAGACAGCCAATCACGTTTTTACTTGTATATAATGAGTTATTATAGAAACGCACACTGTCAAAACTCCTTGTCAGATCTTCCCAGTTCTTTAAACTTAGCAAGCTTATTGGTATATGTAAGCTAAATTTTATTATGGGTAAAATCTGAATTTCGAAAGTGGAGGTATACGGTGGTACACCCTTGCGAGTGTTAGACCTTGCACCCTTAAAATGAAATTTTCCCATCGGCGTCCTTTGTGGAGGGTCTTCAAACATGTTTTTTTGTTCCTTTTTGATCTTCGATCGCGTATATATCCTAAAGAATTAAAACATTGCTCTCAAGTATAGGTCAAATTATAGAACAAGTAGAACGATGAATATTTTACTGAGACGAAAGGTAGCTTGAGGACGCTTCAGCTTCACGGGAAGTAAAATATGACACGAATTAGGCATCGTGTTTGTCATAATCTCTATCACTTGCAAGTATTAGACCTTGCACCCCTAACATGAGATGTTCCCATCGACGTCCTATGTCGAGGGTCTTAAAACATGTCTTTTGTTCCTTCTTGATCTTCAAACGCACTTATATTCTACAGAATCTAAGCATTGTGCTCAAGTGTATCAAATTATAGAACAAGTAGAACGATGAATATTTCACTGAGATTATGTTCGCGTGAATAGACATACGGCTCAACCTCAACCAAAAAGAAGACAGCAGTTTACAGTTTGATCGTGAGGTTCTTTGTACATATTAACTTGTGATTTCTTTTGTTTAGAAATCCATCACTTCTTCAAAGATACAACAGTAAACACTGAGTACCGAAGATAAGGTCATTGCGAAGGTAAGCTGAATCCACTAAATTTATAAATACGGGAACATTCACGCAAACATGTAGTTGATCACGTAAAATTAGTATATCATAGTAAAGAACAAATTGAGTCACTCAACAAGCACTGAAGTTATTACTTTCAACTCTTTTGTTCTATCTCTATGTTCTCGAGGCTGACCACTGGACGCCTGACTCTTTCCAAGAATCGACAAACCCATACGTATTCTACATTGATTCACATTTATCGCTCAAAGCAATGACAGCAAGGAAAATTACCAAAGAGATATTGGGAGTGAAAGGCTAAGGGATTGCAGTGTTTTGGATCTTTCTCGTAATATTTGCATTTTACAACAGCCATTTCATTGTTGTGTTGGACTCGATCATCAGGAAGAGTGCGTGCTTTTGATTCTTTGGTATACGGTAATTGGCGTATGATTGTCTGTGATCGCGTGATCTGACAGACGACGTCCTAATTCTCGAAGCATTGCATCATTACAAACCAATACTGGATCGACAGAGGCGAACTAAATGCAGTGTCTATTCGCAGAGAGCCAATATCTTTTTGTCTTGTATGAAATTAGTTTTGGGGCTAGAAGGACGGGTACGAGACAGACGATCTGAAGAACAACCCTTAAATTAAGATATTTGATCGAGAATCGAAACTGAGCGGTTTTGTTTGATTGCATTGAATTCATATCAGTTTTTTCCAACAGCCGTCGGTGGAATCGATTTTAAGAGTTGAGTGACAGATTGTGTCGATATCAGGAGAAAAGCTCAAAGCTAGAGGTAAGAAGAACGCTTTTAACAAACCATCGTAAAATACTTATGTGGGGACATTTACCAGTCGCACATCAAGAAACGCACACTGTCAATAATCCTTGTCACAGCTTCCTAGTTCATTAAACTCAGCAAGCTTATTGGTATGTGTAAGCTAGATTTTACTGTGAGTAAAATCTGAATTTCGAAAGTGGTTTTTTTTTTGTCTAACGTATAACGCAAATATGCTAGAGTCAATGTGGATGTCAGTTCTCAGTTTGTTCGATGTTTGCTGCATAATTTTACAGAGCAATTTCGGTGCTTATGGCCTTACACTGAAACCATTGCAAGCAAACAGTAGCTTGAGTCGGGGGGGCAAGAAAGTCAGTTTCACAGCTTATTCTTCATGCAGGCTGCAGTTATTGCAAGTATAATTTACCTATATTATAATTGCTTGCTGTATGTGCAAGTATTTGTACACGAAGCCATTCATCATACTGAACTCAACATTTACTTCAATAACCAACATCTTCTTGTTAATATATCTCATAATATTAACACTGAACTTCAATCCTCTGACACCTAAAATTGCGACCATATAATCAATATGCATTTAAAAGCCAGATGGAAGATTTTCACCAGTTTATTAACCCTTAAACCCCTAAGAGTGACTGGCTTCTAATTTCTCCTTACAATATCACCCTTGAATCAAGTGTAAGGGTTGTGAGAATAATAGAAATTATCACCAATTCAAGAAGCTCGTGATTGTCAAACAAATTCTCCTTGTCATTACCACAGGAAATGTAGGGAGATCAGTTTGGAGAATATGAATACTAATGTTAGGGTGTAAAGGGTTAAGGGTTCTATTGTTATATTACTCCTACCGCTGTACAGCGAAATGTTTTTGTTTCTTTAATTTAAATTGTTAATAGAACACAAGCTTCTATGTCTTAATTACACATTGTTGTTTATATCACCCATTTGTGTGGTATTCAAGATTACCCCTTTTTTTTAGCTGATGCTGAGCAATTTGGTCTATTGATACATGTGCATGTAGCAACTAGGATTTGCATTTTCGTCTATTGTCAAGTAAATGCGAAATGATTTTGCATTGTTTTTCTTTCAATTGACGGAACTACTCTTGTGATGTTCTGTTTCTATTCAATTAAGTTCGCGTTTTTGCGTGAGGTTGTGTAAGAATTACTTAACGCTGGTAGCGTTTTATTTCTCGCCAGTACAAGCGTTGTTTTCTTTAGATAATTCTCATTGCTAACTGATTTCAACTAAGTCAGTCATTTCGTTAGTTTTTGCTTGCGCTGTGTTTTATTTTTTTTTACTGTCGGACCCGGTTACGCACATTCCCTATATGGAAATCCTTGATAATATGGAAGAGATTCAGAGGAACACTGGAGTTTGAAAGTCGTGCTAATGAGAAATTCGAGTTTAATCAATGTGACGAAGGATGGATGGTTAGCTTTAACGCGTAGACATCTTTACAAGAAGACGACATTCGACTAAGAGATTCTGTAAGTCGTCACAGCATTTCAGCAACAAAAAGCAGTCAGCGTCCAAGTTCCCGCTTAAGTGAAAAAATGAAGGAAGCGAAGACCGAACAGGCGGTTGCTTAGTTACGGTTACAGCGAGTAAAGTAAAAATTTGAAGTAAAGAAAGATGCGATGTTTTAGATGCGCAGAACGACATCGAAACAGCTACACTCAAAGCGAGAATTTTGGAAGCCAGCATTGATAATGAAACTGTTCAAACTCAAAGAGAAAAGGTTTTCACCGCACCTTCGTTAAAGACAGAGTTGGAAAGAAATCCTCCGTGGATAGACCGAATGAGGTGATACCTCTTGAGTCGAGTCGGGTCGCAACTCGTCAACCAGAATACGTAACTGGTACAGCTTCAGTTGAATCCCTAGGCACCTGAATGGTGTGCCAAATCGTTTGGTACATACAAAACGGTACATTCGATTGAATATGCGAAAGCGGCTCTAGAGAATGTAAGAGAGGATTCAAGCCATCAACCTAAACTTTCCTCAGAAGCCTTTTGTACTCAATCATCTTCAACTTCTGGGTCTGCTTTCACGCTATCTTCAAGTTATTACACCGCCTCAGGAATACCCTTGAAAACCGCCACTAGTGAAAGCCCTGATCCAGATTATTATGACTAACCTAGAGTACCTCCTAAGCCAATGCAGCAACATCCCAGCTTAAACCCCTTGGCCCCTGAGATTTCCACCTCTGATGTGCGGCAAAAATACGATGCCAATGGGGTTTTATAATGCACTTCGTCAACAAAATAGACTTATGGAGCTACTGGTGGAACGACAGCAACAGAGTCTGCTTCCCTCGCAGACATTAACTAATTTTACGGGCTATCCCCTGGAATTTTTTACCTTCATGCAGTGCTACGAATAATAAATAGAAGCTAAAGTCGGGTAAAATGCTGTGTGCTTACAGTGCCTAGAGCAGTACCTGGGAGGAGGACCCAAAAGAGTGAAGATGCTCCTTAGAGAAAAGTATGGAGACCCGTACAGAATATCGAATGTCTACCTGAAGAAAATCAATGAGTGGCCCACCATTTGGACCGGTGATGATCAGGCTCTAGCAAATTTTCTGTATTTCTTACCCAGCGCCGAGGTGCTATTACAAAGCTAACCTTCCTATCAATCCTCAATCATCCACTTAATTTGCAGAGCATGGTGGCTTGCTTCCTTCCCAGCTCCAGGACAGGTGGTGTCATGAAGCCAGTAGAACAAGAATGTCTGAGAGAGAGATTCCTGCCCTTGTAAACTTCTTAAAATTTGTGAACGCCAAGGCAAGCGTTGCAAACGATCCGTTGCAAACGATTCTTCTAAAGAAGAACGTCTAAAACGTGTTCGCGTCACCGACCCACAAGGTTTCATGACGACAACTCCAAGCTCAATCGAAGCACTCCTACGCTCTCAAAATTCAAGGAAGCTAGCTGTAACGCTGCTCACGCGCAAGAGTCTGCTTCCGTTGTTCCCATCGCCCCTGTCAGATTAAGATCAGGATCTAGAGAGTGTGAAGAACCTAAATAGGCCATGCTTCACAAGTGCAGCACTGGATCATTTGTTCTTGAGGACATTGCAGATAGCCTGGGTATAAAGGGAGCTCATAAACGATTAACGGAGAAGACCATGAATGGAAGGCAATTCCAAGACACAAAGATCCAAAATGGCTTAGTTTTCTCAGATTTGAGAGGCAAAAATCGCGTTCAACTGCGAAAGGTATTTACAAGTGAAGACCTATCCCAGCGAGAAGATCTGTTTTCCCACAAAGTCGTCCACAAATGGAAACATCTCAAGAGCACTACTGACGATTTACCACCACAGATACCTGGCGCCAAGATTGGCCTTTTCATCACACAAACGCACTCTCAAAAAGATAAGAAGTTCCTAAATATAGTTAGTGTAGGTACTCGCCATACGAATGATAATCATTACGAAACTCCCCTTCCATTCCGTAGCGAGGCCCCTTGATTTCCTGAGAATAGGAAGGAAGCCCCTCAAAGAGCACGCTGGTTGAAAAGGAGATCGACAAGAAGCGAAACATTCTACCGGGACCATGTCACTTTCATAAATGGTGTAGTTACCAAGATATTTGCCAGAAAAGTGCCCTCAGATCTCCCATCACCAAAGACAGGAGAAGTTTGGTATATACCACAACATGGCATCTACCACGCGTGAAAACCCAACAAGATACAAGTCGTGTTTGACCGTAGTGTCAGATTTGGATGCATTTCACTGAATGACAGGTAACTACAAGGGCCAGACCTGACCAATCGACTTGTGGGTGTTCATACCAGATTCCACCAGGGGCCAATCGCCTTTATGGGTGACATTGATGCAATTTTCCATCAAGTCTGAGTGCCAGAAAACCAACGAAACTTGTTTCGCTTTCTATAATGGCCAGATGAAGATCTAGAGCAGGATCTTGTGGAGTACCGAATGAATGTCCATTTATTTGGTGCCGTCTCGTCGCCAAGCTGTCCTAACTATGCGCTACAAAAGGCAGCTGATGACTCTGAAACAACTGTTGTTTGGGGAAAAATTTCTTCGTTGATGACTGTCTTTTTTCATAAGAAACGGAAGTGTTCGCCAAGCATGTGCTTAAGGAGGCTTTAATCTGGCCAAGTTTATCAGCAACAGTATGGCTGTGTTGGAAAGCATACCAGAAGGTGCCCGATAGTAAATTCTACTGGTCAGACAGTACAAACCGTGCTGAAGTACATACGAAATGTGAAGAAACTTTTCCACGTATTTGTCGACATGAGGAAAACAGCCGTATTCCAGCTGATGATGCATCACGTGCTTTGAAAGGACATAAGTTAGCAAGAGAACATCGTTGGATTACAGGCCCAAGTTTCCGATCGTTACCCGGTACTGAGTGGTCACTAATTCCCCTTAACCAGGACGATATCTCTGTGGAGGATCTGGAGGTTAAGAGAGTTGTGGTACATAGCATGGAAATCACCGAGAACTATGACATGTTGTCAAGACTCTGACGGTTCTCAGAATGGCTCCTATTGAAGGGGATAATTGCCCGGATTCTCCCTTTTAAAACAAGACAGCGGCAAGTATCATCCCCAAGAGGACAGTGTTCTCAGGGATCAACGCGTACGTAATCTAGCAACTAGGTGATCGAAAGTAGACGAAATGGATAGAGTGGAGAAGACTAGCATAAAGCTCGTACAAAGCCAAGCCTTTCCAAAGGAAATAGAGATCCTCAAGATGATCTGACGAGAAGACTACAAGGACGACCGTCAATTCGCCAGGATAAAGAGATCTGAAATTAAGAAATCGAGTATCTTGTATCGCCTTAATCCCTTCTTAGATCAAGATGGAATCATTCGCGTCGGTGGAAGGCCTGATATATCACAATAATTATCAGAAGATTTCAAGCATCCTATTATCCTCCCAAAGAGATGTTTCATTGGGGGCCTTATTGTTCGTGACACCCATAAGAACGTTGCCCATGCAGGCAGAGGCGTCACACTCGATGTGATCGGAAGTCAATACTGGATAGTTGACGCAAACTCAATTGTGAGACGTCTTGTTTACAAGAGCGCGGTATAACATTGTCTTCGTGGAACCAAAGGTGAACGGAACATGGCCGACCTTTCAAAAGAGCGAATAACACCTTCACCTCCTTTCACCTATTGTGGTGTCGATTACTTCGGTCCCTTCTTTATCAAGCAAGAAAGGAAAGAAGTGAAATGCTGTGGGGCAATATTTACTTGTTTGACCAGCAGAGCGGTCCACATCGAAACAGCTAACTCATTGGAAACAGATTCCTTTCTCAACGCCTTATGGAGATTTATAGCAAGGAGGGGCCCAGTACGTGATATAAGATCAGATCAGGGTACCAATATCGTGGGATCAAAGAACAAGTTAGGGAAAGGTTTGGAAGAGATGGGCCACGGCGCAATTCAAAGATACCTTTCTGCATACTTTTCTGCTGATTGGGAGATCTAATGGAAACAGAATCCACCTGCAGCGTCCCATATGGGTGGGCTTTGGAACACCAAATACAGTTAATTCCATCTGTTCTGTTGTCTCTAATGCGAGAGTACGGTCACACCCTGGATGATGAGTCATTCAGGACATTGTTAACTAAGGTCGAATGCATTCTCAACAGCCAACCACTTTCTGCCGCCTCGGGTGATCCCCGTAATTCGGATCCACTCACTCCAAGCCACGTGCTGACTCTGAAGTCCAGGGTTGTTATGCCTCCACCTGATAATTTTCAGGAGACCGATGTTTGCCTTCGAAGGAGATGGAAAGGCATTCAGTATTTTTCGAAGGTCTTCTGGTCGAGGTGGAGAAAGGAGTCTGTACAAAATCTACAGCAGAGAGTGAAATGAAACCGCCCAAGGAGGAACTTTGTTAAGGTAGACCTTGTACTAATCATTGATGACCGTGTACCGAACATGGCCCGAGTTGTCGAAGCACACTCAGAAACTGTCAAAGTTATCGCTGTAGGAACAACACTAGAGTGCCCAATTGACAACCTTGTACTTTTACTAGAACATGAAGAATGAAATCCAGGGTAATCCCAGCCAAAGGAGCCATAAATTTGATAACTTTGTTTTTGATTTTGTTATTAAGGAACTGAGAGCACAAGGGTGTTAGAAAACTCTTAGGGGAGCCAGGTGTTAACGCAAAAATTATTTCAAATCTTTTTTTGTTTTTGACGTTTTTCTTTTTCTTTTGCTCATGTCGCTTTTTTATTAGTTCTCTTGTTTTCTCGGACATTCATTTCATCGATATTCTGTTAACTTTTTTTTCGTAGAATTTTTCTTTCCGTCATTTATATAAATTTTTTACCATAAATTTTATTCATTCGGGTTTAATATTTAATTGTGATGGACCATTTTCGCTTTAAATCGTTTAATATCGTCTTTAACCAGCAATTTGTCCTCGGATCTCGAACAACTTTGTAAGCGTCTTTTATTTTCCTTTATTTTGTTTTCTCGTTTTTTGTTTCTTTACATATAGTTGTAGTAACTTATAATTTGCTATCCTATTTTAACTACCGCTTCAAATGTTCACTTCGCTTCAGTGCTTGAGTTAATTACGTTTGTACGTTAGACATGTACGAGAAATTTCGGCCTCAATAAAGTCAGATATCTTAAACTTTCTTGTATCATTATTATTCTAAATGCGACTAGTAATAAATCCTGCTGTCAAAATAAAAAAGTGTAAATTTCAGAGAGCAGTGACTCAAAAGCTCTATCCATGATCATGCAGTACTTGTATCCTCTTGGATAGCTTCATTTCTTGCTTCATCAGTGTAGCTTACACTGTAATCTAACGGATAATTTAATATCAATTTGTAATTTAATAATAATTTGTCATTAATAATTTAGTGGATAATTTTCCTCTGGTATTGTAATCATTGATAGAAATTCAGTTGGTTTTCAATATGAATGTCTTGTTGAATGTAAAGAACTATATTTAAAGTAAAATTCAATTCCCATTTTTATGATTCGTATCACATCACTAGCAATGTTTATCTCTCTGATCCTGTAATATATCAAATAACATGGGATTACACGGAAACATTGTTGTCCTACATTTTGCGCAAAATATTTGTACATCATGTTGACTATATGGTGCATTTATTATAAAGGTTGGATACACATATGATATCGGCGGCCCGTTGTTTGTTTCTGTCATCACAAACTTTAAACATAACGCAACTCCCTCAGTCTGAGGTTACATGGGGTTTTGCTTAATATTCCTGAATGGGATCCATCATCCCATTGGTAGACTGTAGGCAAGATCCTAAGTAGAATGGACAGAAGGCCACCTGGGATTGTATGGGGGCTGACCAAGGATCTCACCTTGGATTTCTTTTCGGGTGAGGTGGAATCCAACCCAAGACTTTTGTGGGGGTGGGGCGGGATCCCGCCTGGAATTGTACCTTGCACTGAAGGCATTCCACCTATAAATTAAGACAGGATCCCACTCAGAATTGTAGGTGGGATTTACTGGATTCCACTCGAACATTTGGGCGGGATACCATGTGGGAAGTTCCAAAATCCTGCTCAGGATCCTACTTGGGATTGACGGGATCTGGCCTCCTGCCTTTACTTGGGGCACAAAGGACAAAATGTTTTTAGACAGTTCGCTGTTTACTGCATCTGTAGGATCGATGTTCACTTTTCTCGTTTATGACTTTATGAACATACAAATATCATGGCTTTTCTTCTGTTAGTACTGCTAAAAGCTAGCGGTCTCATTATGAATTGAATTTTAAAATGGCGACTTCGACCAAACTGGATGTACGTGCTTAAAATTAGGAAATATCACTTGGGGAATTTATTGGCGCTTATAATCCACTAAATAATTTTGCTGGTGTGCAAATGGTTTAAAAGCATCGCTTGATCGCATCTGCCCGAGCTAAAGCTCGGGCATATCCCGGGATACCCCAAATGAACCTCCCCAATTTTCGAACCCTACGCATACTATGAGAAACGCGTTTGTTTTAAATTTAATTCCCAGTGAGGGAGTGATTAGCTATTGTTAAGAAAAAGGGACATGTTTGTTTGCTCATGAAGTCGTACCATATAACGGTGTAAAATAAAAATCCCATGCGCATCAGATATTTAATCATTGGTAATCATTTTTTCCCACGTAGAAATATTCGGAGGATAACAAATTCAATGAAAATATGTCGTGAAAATATGCTCGCATATTTGTCCTTGGACATTATCAGTTCCTCAAAGTTAACACTTTCCCTCAACCTTTGCTCTCGCAAACCTGTTCTCATTCCAGAACAAATAATGTTCGCGGACGAACACCTGTGCATATTTTCATGCCAAATAAAGGCTTTTGTTCCTGTTTTCCCCTGGTTTCAGCAGAGCATATTCAATCACATGATGTTTCGAGACCAATGAAGTGTGAACAAATATATTTGGTGCATGATAACTAACTATAGTTGGTAGAGCAGCTAGATAGGCTGTTGCACCATTTAG